TATAATCAAAGCTTAAAAAATAAGGAAATCATTGCTTTTATATAGTTTAACTATATAATAAAAAAATCTTGTACAACTGGCCATTATTATTATTACAATGAAAGCAACATCTTCATTTAATAAGATCTAATTTATGTTATTATTTTGGTTGTATATATTCATCCTAAATACTATATATAACACACTTCAAAGGTATTATAAAGGTAATATTCACACATTATTATGAATTTATTATGTGGCTAAACCCTTTAAACAATTTGCTAATTTTTGTGTTTTATAATCAGTTCTTAATTGTATGAAATTCACTAGAACATTACGGTCTAACGTTGCCTGTAATAAAAAAAGAAATAATTATTTTTAATCAATTTAATATAACAAATTTTTAAACATAATATATTTTGTCTATAATTATAATTAGAATTAAATCATCATAACGTACCAATTGGTCTCCTGTACAAACTTGTTTTAAATTTTCTGGTTTAACTAATAATAAATTACATAAAGCATGTAAAGTGTCAAACAAATTAGTAACAAGGTCAATTTCAAGTTCCTTGACGCATTTACGATATTCGTTCATATCGCATATTGCACACATAGCACCTGCGGAATTAAATTGGAACTGTTGTAAATGATCATAAATAATTTTATGAAATCGCACTCCAAGCTCAGTTAGAACAGTATTTAAATTTTTTCCATCTAAAGTACTTCGAATATGTCGAATCATTCCAGTAACATATTGTACTACTGTTAAACAAGCTGGAGTGCTTAAAGTATCGACATCAGTTTCAGGTTTAAAATCAGTCTTTCGTTGTTCGTTTTGTAGATACACTTTTACCCAGCCGATAATAGCATTTATACTTCTATCTAATCCCATCTCCAATTTCATGTCAATTTGATCTAACGCGAGCTTTTTCTTTAACATACAATCTCCGTGCTTGGGTGTAGATCTAAAAAGATTATATTTCAAATATATTTTCAAAATAAAATTATATTTAAAAATAAATGAAATAAATCTTACACAACAAGAGGTATCACGCTGTCATTGAATTGTTCCTCTAATAAGCGTACAATTGCATTACATTGACGTACAACATTGAAAAAATATATCTCAGGTTGAGTTCTGCTTTCAGGAATTGGTACACTTTGTAAACCCAATTCCAATGCATAATCAACGTGTTCACTTATTAAATATTGTAATAATATCTCCAAAATCTGAATTGCATTTATCGATATATCATCAGGTTTAGATAATAACTGACATCTTTGAAACGCCAATTTACTTCTTTGTAACAAAGCAATTGCAAGTTCTTCTGACAAAAAAGTTTCACCACCATAATTTTCTATTTGCGCGATATTTATATTAGTCCTTGCACCTAAAACTGCTTGTAAATCTCTTCTTAATTCTTGAAATCCGCCACTTTGTAATTGTTTCTTTTGATGATTTTTAGATTCGTAATATTCAATAAGAAGGGCTGCTGATTTTTCTTTCAATACTTTTGTTTCCATACTAAAAATATTACACTGATTAATATTTAATTATCATAGATGTATTATTATTATGTGAACTTACATGATATAAGTATCTAAATATTTTTGAAATATATTTCTAGTAAGTTTGGCAAGATATGTATCATCAGTGCCCATATTAAATATTTTCAATTCTGTAGATAATTTCACAGTTCTTGTATATAAATCATATAAATTTTTTAGGTATTTGTCAGGATCAGTTTTATCTGCTAATTTAGCAACTGCATATTTTTGAAGTCTTAAGTGGTAAATATTTAGCACAAATTTTGCCATCACCTGTTCAGGATTTGTAAATACTTGTTGCATTAATTTATGATATTTTGTACACATAGGTATTACATCTTGGAAAACGTCCTTTCCACCAAACGAGCCCATTTGGCTTTGCTCTATAAATGCATCAATACATTGAGAATATCCTTTAAAATGAGCTAGCACTGATGCTAGCTCTCTCATACGAGTAGCATCTTCCCTATTATGCGCTCTAACGAATTCTTCTATGAGATTTCTTTCAATTTCATCGTACTTAACAGCAATTTTTTTTTTAGCATGTTCAAATTTCTCAGATGGTAATTCTTGTGAAATAAGATGAAGTTTTTGTATAACATCTGCTGCCTCATCTAGCTGTTACAAAATAAAGAATCTTAATTTTTGCTTCATATACAATATAATAGTAAATATTAGATTCATGAAAGGAATGTTCATACCACAGACTTATCTGTAAAAATCGGGTCTGTCAAAGGTCCTGGGCTTAAAAACTCTGAAAAATGTTTCATTAATTTCTGAGCCTCGACAGTTCTAGCTCTTGGGGTATTAACACTTTCCAACTGATCTCCTAAATGTAAAACCTTGGTAGCTACAAGATTTATTCTTTCATCTAACTGATGAAATAGTTCAATAGAATGTTTATTTCTTTCCTGTAATTCAAATATTTCTAGTATATGCCTTGCTTCTTCATCTTTTAATGCTGCCTCAAATTTGTCGCACTTCTTCTGTTGACGTTCCTGTAGAATTTGTAAATCCTTAATCGCTTGCAAGAAAGTTTCGTGCACTATTGTCGGATCAAAAAACGTTTTTCCATCATCTTTTGTCGTATCATTAACTGTTCTCCAAGCAAGTCTTTCAACAAATTCTTCAGGATCAAATGGATCCTGAAAAAGATATTATTAAAAAGATGCTATTATTAGTGTTTTATAAACAAATAATAATTCGAATTTTATTTTATTATACTGGTTAATTTTTAATAATTTACTTGTTCTAATTCTTTCATATACTGTTGCATCATTTTGACGAAGTTTAAGTGTCACTTGTACGAAAGTAAGGTTATGATTTTATTGTTACGTACAAATATCGATCTTGTTCATAAAATATTGATAAAAATGCTAAAAAATATATAGTTTTTAATGGAAAATTATTATTGATCATTTATTAAAATCTATAAGTACTACAAAAAAACATTTCATTTTCCGATTGTTGAACAGCTTCGACATTCATCGTTCTTTTCTATCTTACATAAACTATACTAAAGAAGAACGTACATATATCAAATTAAATATCTTTAAATATTTCAAATGTTATTTCGTACCATATGCGGAATCAACACATTAATATTACATACAGTATTATAAAACAAAAATAATTAATACTCAACTTACACACAATATTTATTTTTTATGATCATACATTTACTTATTACATACGTTCTTCTTATGAAGAACTTCATACATTCTTATCAACTAATTCACATAATAAACTAATATTATTATAATGAAAGAAATTTCACGTCATTCCGAGATATTCTTATTTTGTTTCCATAAAAATGTTTTTTTTAAGAATACAATACAAAAGTAAGATCATTTGTAATCGTAATGTGAGATTTGTACAAAATGTCTTTTCTTTTTTTTTTCTTTTTAATAAAAATTAGAATAATATATAGTATACATAGTTTTTTGGTATTATTATTGCATAGAATAAAATTTTACCAGAATAACCTGATTTATTCAATGATTCTCATCATAAAAAAGCAAAAACAATTGAAACAATAAGTATGTGATATAAAATAACGTTAACTAGATATCTTGAATAAGTAACCCATATAAAAGAGAAATAGTATTGTAGCCAAAATTTTTTTCTTACAAACTCATATGAAACACGCAGCTTTATGAATATAAGCTTATCGTTTGGTAGATATGGGATAAAACATATCGAATTTGTCAAGTAACATTTTACAAACGATATGATATATTTATAGTAGGCGAATAATTTTATAAATTTTATTAGCACATGTTTAAAAAATTTATGTAACTTTATAGAAGTTACCAACTGGAACATATTTAATTATTATCTGTAACGTATTTAATTATTCTTGTACGTATAGGTATACTATTTATCATTTTTTGTATTAGTGTTGAAATATTTATTAATATATTGTTATTAAATTACACTAATGAGCACTGAAAAAGAGGGAGGCAGCAACGATGGTTTCAGTATGTTATTACTCTAATTCTTGTTTGGAATAAAATGTGGAAAAATGTTTGGGTAGTACAAAGATTAAGAATGACTTCCTTCTAAGACAAAAAACCATTCAATTATACATATTACAATTACGCTAAAAAATAAGAATGCTTATCTTTAATAACCACGATACATAGTATTATGTAATTTACTTTATAAATTCGAACTGCTGTTAAACGCATCATTGCATAGAATCAATGATTTTCAATGCTAATCCGATGAATTTTCCTATAGTCAATTTTTGCACTAGATAATCAGCAAATGAATAATTATGTTCTCCTTTCTTAAAAAAGAAAAAGATAGAACAAAAGTTGTTTTATTCAACTCTGTAACAGAGTTGGTGGTCCGTGATTAATAATGTTTCACACCTTGGTTTTTTTTTTTATTAAACTTCCACAAATCTTTCTCGTTTCTTCTGGTAATAATTTTTAATGCAGTATAAAACTGCTACCATAAGATGTCCTTCTGGAATTAAATGATTCAATATCAATGTACAAAAAATGGTCTTTTATATTGAAATTATTAGTTGTAGTTACACAGTTCACAATCTTTATTAATATAAAAAACCTTACTTTGGTTACAAGATCGTAAAATTACATTTCTCAGCAGCACCCGGATTTAGAGGATTCAATTGGACGTCCATGTTCTATTCTCACATTATTTGCAGGATCACTATTACCACTTGATGGAGGGCCCACTCTAAGTTTTATTTCTGCAGCCATTGTCATAAAAGCTTGTTCGACATTCATTGCATTCTTAGCAGATGTTTCCAAAAATGGTATACCAAGCTGATCTGCGTATTCCTATTTATAAAGTTATATAAGCAATTAATATGCAATTGAAAACATTAATATGTTTGTTCGTAGAGTTTCCTTACTTTTGCTGTTGTGTAATCAACAACTTTTTTAGTGTGTAGATCACATTTATTGCCAACTAACAGCTTGTTCACATTATCGCATGCGTAACGATCAATCTCTTCTAGCCATTGTTTAACATTATTAAATGTTTCCTGATCTGTGCAGTCATAAACAACGATAATACCGTGTGCACCTCTATAATAAGAACTTGTAATTGTTCTAAATCGTTCTTGACCTGCTGTGTCCCAGATTTGTAATTTTATTGTTTTCCCATCTAGATCAATTGTTCGTATTTTGAAATCTACACCAATAGTACTGATATAACTTTCTGTATACGTGTCATCAGCAAAGCGGAGTAAAAGACACGATTTTCCAACTCCAGAATCTCCAATTAAAAGTAACTTAAACAAATAATCACTGCAAAAAGATATTTACAATGAATATAGTTGAATTATATCAAAGTAAACATAAACTATTAAATCCAATCTTTTACTTTATGATTTATAATTTATTTTAATTAATTTATATTGAGATTTATTTTTACCATCTAGGAATCAACATAAAGTTTAAAGAAATAAGCAAAACATATCATTGATCATTATGTGGATATATATTGTTTACTAAACAAAATTTATGATAATTAAAATCAGCTAATATAAACTACCTAAACGACAGTAAATAACACATATAAATTCCTTTCCTTTAAAATCTTACAAAATTTTATTTTAATAATTTTTTCTTTTTTGTGTTAAATATATAGTTTGTGTAATTTTGTGATAATTACAACATATACTGTTGCCTATATTACTTTCGCGTTGCAATCTAATGAAACATTCACAATAACAATGAACTCTGCTTTGTATTTTTTTATAATATTTCACAAGACGAATCTTTGGAATTATTTTCAACCATTTCCTCCAGAAATATTCGCCTATAAATTTTCCAGATTCGAAGTTCGAGCCTGAAACAAGTCGGACAACGTATCTTTTCGATAAATTTGAGCAAAGATCGAAGAAAAAAAATTTCTAAAATATGGCTCGTGAACATAGGTAGCAAAAGAGAAAGAGAGGGGGGGAGGATGAATCTGTCAGACAGTGAATGTTAAATAAAATTTTTCCGCAATAATGTGGCCAAGCAACGCGCAAGTAATATCAAGCTGGTCTCTTCGGTTCTCAATCGTTGTTACAGGTATAAATAATTGACTGTACGTTTCAACAAATAAACGTATCCTAGACACAATTATGTCTGCGCAAAAGGAAGTTTACTCACTATTCCGGATTCATCGTGGACATACTACGTTCAGAACACCCTCACTAGTATCGCGTACCGTCGTTGCGCGAATCTAAAGAATGGACACGGCCCGTTGAAATCGGTGATGCGATGACGAAGATTCACAGATCACGTTCTCCGACACGAACGAAGCTGTAACAATGGCGGTCAGAGTAACTCCTCCCAACCAGCAAATGAAATGTCTACCATTGACGTAATGCCAGAATGGCAGCAGGTGCTGTTTCACTCCCCCTATTTGACGGGACACGAGCGATTCCAGCACGGAACCACGTCTGCGCACTTCTTATCTTCTTATCTCCTTCTCTTTGCTTTTCTCTCTTTTTCCTTTTCTTTTCTTTTATTTTCCAATTGTCATACGTTGTTCCGTCTACACTTTGGAAATTTGTGATATTATGAATAAATATGTAGCATTGTATTATGTAGAAATTTTATGGAAATGAAACCAACGTATCGATCATTTTTCAACCAAACATCAATACAATATATCGAATATTCTGTTTTCAATATTCATATTTAGTGTACGAGTATCTGAAATCACGGCCTTAGGACGTGTTTTCATATTGCTGCTAGTTTGAAATGCTCTGAAAGATACTTATGTGAAAGTGCATTCAAAGAAAATTGCTTGTCATTTAAATGTCAAAAAAAATATCCTAAGTTCTATATAATAAATCGTTTTTCTGACATAATAGGAAATAAATATTTCAGCGAAGTATTAGCCTGATATAATAATGTAAGTTACTCACGTCTGTTTTTAATGTGTACAGTCAGGTAAATTGTTATTAACTATGTATGTGTCATCTGGTTGTATTTATACATTCAGTTCACGATATTTCTGTTTTATTCTTTTGTTTTCTGAAGTAAAAATGTAAGATCAGTCTTATGTATGTTTGTAAAAACGAAGTCTAAATTATATTGGCTTCTTAGTTGTTTGTTTTGAAACGTCAATTTTGGTCATCAACTCAATACTCGTTTCTTAACCGAAAGATTTGAATTATTCCTTCATTAAATTAAGCGTACGCACAAACTGTCAAGAAATATTTTCACATGTAGTTTTGTGCAAATAAATTTGTATTATTTATTTATTATATTATTTGTGATGTTATATTATTTTGTTATATGATTTTTATTTATAAATATCAGGTACTAAGTTCGATATTTCTCTCGCTAATTATATGGACATATGTATCCAATTGTATTGCGATATTTTTATCATAAAAAATTTTTTATTAATAAGGGTATTTCAATGTTCATAAAATGTTGCAACTTAAATATTCTGTTTTTTTTTCTTTTATAGAAAAAAATCGTCAATCAAATTTCTGGTGTTAAGAATAAACTGAAGAATCTTCATTAATGTTACCTGTATTTCCTAAAGAACCTCCAACTGAATTGTTTTTTCGAACTATAAATGGAAGTAAATTGAAGCTTATTGATAAAAGTGCAAAGACCAGGAATGTTATGAAATTTGTTTTACATAAAAACATACATTTAAATGTGAACATAACTTTCCTTTTGCTATTTGCAACAGCAGTTTTATGGAAAATATTTAATATTTTCATACCATTTATTTTATGTACATTAGTATTAATACTACAAATTATCTACTTTGCCACCTCTGTAAATGAAGGTTTGTTAACTAATTACAACTATTATAAGCTTATAATTTTCTTTTTGTTAATTTCTACATTTTATTTATAGTTACATTAACAGTAGTAGAATTTGTTGGTATATATACTGAAGGACGAAGAATATTGTATGGTTCTAGTTTATGTGAATTTATTCCTTGGAATACAGTGACAGATGTATTTATTAATGAAGTTATAACAGGAGTAAATATTGACAATTCATAATATAGTGTAGTAACTTTTAAAAATATGTTATTTAAATAAATATATGTTTTCAGCAAAAAGTATTATATTATCTTACAATAATAATAAGAGATTCAGTTGATGGAAAAGATTTAATAAAACTGATTCCTTTATTTCAAAACCTAATACCTGAAAGAAAATGCCTGGAATATATGTACGAAAGGCTAGCTGGATTGATTGGACCCAAAAGGAAGAAAATCCAGCTTTAATTGTACCTGGTTCATATTGGTTATGTCATAAAACCAAGATATACAAATTTATTTTTAGTTATCACCGTACAAGCAGGTAAATATTACTAATAGCAAAGTATTAGTAAAATAAGATAGATTTCTAATATATATATGCATATTTACAGAAATATAAAGCATTTTAATTTTGGAAGAGAATTAATGAAAATTATTAGAAGAATTATAAAAGATCAACCTCCCCAGAATCAACAATTTGGTACAAATCATCTTTTAGTCACTTTCCGTATCCTTTTTTCAATGTACTGTAAATATAATTTTTAACTTGTTGATAATATTAAATATTTTGTATTTATTATTGAATCTTCCTTAACTATTATTCGTAATAGATCATGCGTCATGGACTAGACAAGATAAAATATTTGCAATGTTGAAGTTTAAAGAACGACCAGTTATAGCATTTTCTCACGCATTTATATTAACTATAAAAGTGATTAATCCTACACAGAATTCAGACAATACAATTTCTCGAGATCATTCTTTGATCTATCGAAATGAAAATTCAAATGACACACATAAATCTGAAAATAAAATTGAACAAGAAAATGAAAAATGTTTATTGCATTCTTCTAAAAATGATTATTCGAAGACAAATAAACAGTGTGATAATGTACAAGAACAAATTTTAAAATATGAAAGTAAAAGTATTCAATTAAATAATAATAATATGGAGACTAATTTTAAAGAATTATCATTAAGTGAAGAATTGGCGGAACAACCATCAAATGACAATGAAGATAAATTTAAATTTTGTAAAAATACAAATATGTCATTTAAAGTACACATGTCACCTAAACATAGTAAACAGTTAAATGATAAAATGGAACAAAGCAATGTTAACTGTGTACAGAATCAAGATATTGGACATCAATTATCAGATGACAGGATAGATTTAAATAAATATAATATTGAAAAAAACAAAAATAATTCTATATCGAATTCTATATCGAATAATAGTAAAATGTTAAATAGTAACAGTGTTATTGATGATGCTAATACAGATTCTGCCAATTTACCATATCAGTATTTGATAGAAAAAGAAATAGAAAATGCAAAGCGGAATACATTAGAAGAAGTAAATGAGAAAGATACTACAAATTATACAGAAATTACCAAAATAGATCCACCTTGTTCTAAGAAAAAAAAGAGTACGTTAGATATACCACGATCTTCTGATATTACGGATTTAGTAATGGAAGGTTTAATGTTCACAATTCGTCAGGGTCAAGATGCTATAGCAGTTATAGAACAAAAAACTAAATTGGAGGTAGATGAAGTATTAGAAAATTCTGAAAAAATTGAGACAGAGGAAGGTGAAAAGTGCTTGCGGAATTCTAGTTTACTTGGTTTAGAAAATTTAGTAACGATGATTGAATTACCAAAAAGAAACGAATTTAAAAGTGAACATCAAAACGTAATTAGTCAAAAATCTACTTTAGGAAATCAATCTATGAGTAAATCCTTATTTAATAATGTGAAACATCCCCTAACAAATAATGAAATTAGAGAAAAAAACTTTACATGTGGATTAGAATACTCTTTTAATAATTCTATTTCAGCTAGTAGTAGTTATAAAAATAATAATAGTAGCTTAAGCATTACAAACAAACGTCGCTATTCTGACATACATGATAAATGTGAAGAGCATATAAAAGTTGTAAAAAATAAATATTTGAAGTATGAAGAAGAAGAAAAAAAAGAGGACAACAATAACAATGAAGATGATGATGAAGAAGAAGAAGAAGAAGAAGAAGAAGAAGAAGAAGAAGAAGAAGAATACGAAGAAGACGAAAACGAAGATATAGTACCAGAAGCATTACAAAATGAAACATTATTATCTATATTACCTTTTGAGTCTGAAGATGAATTAAATTCAATGCCAAACAAAGATTTATTAATGGATGATGTTGATAATGAAGATTCAATAAAATTTGAAATAGGCAAGAATGAACTTAAGCCTAATTTTAATGACAGTTTACACCTTAAAAGATACTCAAAAAGATACTCAGATTATAATTCAATATATACAAAGTTCTTTACAGATAAAGCACAAAAATTGCATAAAAATACAATATGTGAATCTAAATTTAATGATACAAACAAGTATAAATCAAATGCTCCAGTAATTATTTCAAATCAAATTATTACTCTAAACGAAATGCCTTTGCCACTACAGAAAATACTCAGAAATAAATTATCGACAAAACAAAATAAGATAAATAAAGATAATATTGAGGTTTACAAAACACAAGCATGTCAAAATGAAAATAATGCTTTTAATGCACAATTAGGAAATCAAATTTCAGATAATATATTAACATTATCAAAAGATGATGAAAAATCTATACAAAGTAATAGAGAAACATGTAATGAAAATACATTAAAAACAGAAGAGAAATGTTCTATAAGTTCTCAAGAAGTCATAAAACTAACAGAGAAAAAATCACAAAGACAAAATGATTGTATCGATAAACCAAAATTGTCTTCGACTAAAATAAAGGACATTACACAAGAATTTTATAAAAATCTTTCATATTTGAAGACAGAAAATTTAAGAAATCACAAGTACCTAAGATCAAGAAAGATATCATTGAATTATACTAATAATGGTGAAACGCATATACAAATGCTCAAATTTTTTCAAGATATTACAAGAGGTGCCAAGGTTGTTGTAACACGTATAAATGTAAATAAATGTTCGTAGTTCAATAGTAAAAAGTTTATATTTAACATTAGAAATGTCATCTGCAATTTAATTTATAGATTCAGCAGCAGTACATTTAGAATTTTTTATACATGTATTTTATTCAATAAATGTAAATGATGAATAAATATATATGATACTCTATCTAGAACAATTTATTATATCATATTAGTCAACTTTCTAATAATTTATTAATCCAACATGTTTTTTCTCGTTCAATTTGTTCCACAACAGCTTTTAAATTATCCAATTTATTTATAATATTTTGCAATTTAAAATCTAAATGATCAAAGCACATTTCCTTTTCATTAAACTCAATATTCAAACGTTCAGTTTGCTCCAAAATCGGTAATTCATTCATCACAGTTGATTTTTGAAATAGCTTCAGCATCTGCAAAACAAAATGTATTTCATGGTTACAACAGAAAAAATAAGTATAGCGAATAAATTTATATATTGATATTCAAATATTTATTAATAACGTTTATCTCATTTTTCAATTTGATAGATTTTTGAAATTCATCGGCACATCGTAATGGATACCGTTCTCGGGCATCACACAATTCAAAAACTGCGTCTTCGCATTGTTGCTCGATATCATCTAAAAAACAAAGGTTAAGCATAATTTTTATTTTTTTTTAACTTTATTCTATATTGTTTCAAACTTCTTGCAGTTACCCATTATTGATGACGTTGTATTTCAGTTTAAAATGATGTTATTTTGTACTAATTTGAGGGGAAAACATCATTCAAATGATCGAGAACAAGCGAATTTGTGTTGGTGTACATTAATACTTCCAGCGCCATCAAGTAGTACGTAATTGTAACTTTATGTTCCAAAAAATTTAAACAGAAATTTAACTTAACCCGATTTATTCGATAAATTTGTAATTTATAATTTCGTTATACATGCTTATTTTATTATCTTTGATTTATCTTTCTATACAAAAAATACTCTCCGAATGATAAACATATGTAATTATTTAAATTACATATATTCGTGTTACATCCATTTTCAAGTATTTTTTTAAAAATTCGATTTAAATAAGCATTCACTTAATAACATTTGGACGTATGATAATTTTAATGAATAGCAATATGATGTTTTTAAATAAATTATAATATTTGAAAAATGCATTTTCTGAGCTACAAAAGAGATGAATAAAATTAAGATACGAATATAATAAACATAATATTATTGATCTAATATAATAAAGATACATAAAAAAGATGCTATTACTGTGTAAAAAAAAATCAGAATATATATGTAGCTTCTTTTAAAATATATAAAAAAGTTATACAAAGTATTAATACATCATATCGTATAAATAATTAATTCAAAGTTAAAAATGTTGAAAGTCAAAGAATTAATTTGTAACAAAATATTTAAATTTAAAGTTACGTATTTAAAATTACGTTAAGAGTTGCTGAGTTGGCGATGAAATAAAATCATGTGATCAACGGAAATTGTTAAGTACTTTCGGTACGCGTGGCATTTATTTGATCCTACTTTTGCTGACATTGTCAAAGATGCATAAATTGCGGTACACACCGCCATTAAAATTGCGAATACCGTTATCTACACTGGCAGCAACGTAAAAATAGTGATTCTTTTTTCTGAGTAAAACTAGTATTGCAATGAAGAAACGTTGAAGAAAGTCTGGCGTTACTGTAGTATATCGTATTTTCAAGTTGTTCACAGCCGATTGAATAATGGGGTACTTAAAGTCTATCGGTACCGTGATAATATATATTAGTTTTTTCTTAACTGTCATTACCTTTTTACCGGGTTTACCGCCGGAAGCAGAATATTCCGAATATAGGTACGACATTTATTTCACAATAATGCAATTGTTAAATATGTACAATAAACCGTGATTTTTTACTACGTGTATTTCAAGCATAAAGTTCCCTTCGGATGTGCAACTGAAATACGAAACGAAAACTCGATTACAAGAACCTGAAATATTATTCTCAGGAGAGATTAAAGGTCCAGAAGATATTGCATCGTTCAACGGGGAAATATATACTGGCATACGTGGGGGTTATGTTGTAAAAATTGAGGAAAATCGAATTAAACCGATTGTAAAATTTGGACGAAAATGCGGTATGTCATAATAATTATTACAAGATACTTGCATTTTATTTATATTAAAAAATTTGTTGCTATTTTCCCTTTTGAGTGAGTTTTTATATACATATACTGTACATATACATATACTGTATTTACATACTGTATTACATACAAAGCAAATAACAAATTTAGTAGTTTAATAATATAAACTTAAATAAAATTACATTTTTACAAGTAAAAAATTTGTCATGAAATTATTATTAAAATATTTGTACAATGCTGACCAAAAGTGATATTTACAGATGGTTTGTGGCAGGAAGAGAAATGCGGTAGACCCTTGGGTTTGAAGTTTAACGATAAGAAAGAACTGTTTGTAGCTGATGCTTACTATGGTATTTTTAAAGTGAATGTTCACACAGGACAATATGTAAATATAGTCAATAGTTCTGAACCTATTGATGGAAAGACTGCAAAAGTCTTTAATACATTAGACATTGCAAAGAATGGAGATATTTATTGGACAGATTCATCTACAGATTTTTATCTTCATGACGGAATGTATTCATTCTTTGCTAATCCATCAGGAAGGTAAATATAATTAGGTAAATTTACTTAAAGTATATTTGTTTCTACATGTAAATATTTCTTTACAGACTTATTCGATATAATGCAGCAACAAAAAAGAATGAAGTATTAATAAAAAATTTAGGATTTGCAAATGGTGTCTTGTTAAGTGACGATGAAAGCTTTGTAATTGTAGGAAGCACTCTTAATTTAAAAATTCTGAAATATAATCTAAAAGGTCCAAAAGCTGGACAACAAGAAATCTTAATAGAAGGTTTACCTGGTCTACCTGATAATATACACAGTGATGGACAAGGAGGATTTTTAGTATCTCTTATTTCCGCTATAGATTCTGAACATCCTGTTTTACCTCTGTCTTTTATACCACATCCGTACATACGAAAGATGATATCAAGATTAATTTATTCAATAGAAGGTCCATTTAAATTATTGCAAGATATTTATCCAAATTATTATTCAGAAAGAGTTTTACATACAGTAGGTTCGTTTGAAGTTGGAAAATATTTAACATTGAAAACTGATTCACTGATACTTAGAATGGATAAAACAGGAAAAATTTTGAATATTTTATATTCGGAAAATGGAGATGTTAGTTGCATTTCTAGCGCTCATATAAATGATGGATATTTATGGCTTGGTTCTCCTTGGAATGATTATATTATGAGGATCCCATTACAGCAAGCATTTCCGGATTTAACAATTAATACAAAATTTTCAGCAGAAAAGGAACAAAAACAGAAGGAACCGGTTTTAACAGTTTCAGCAACACCAAATGTTAAAGTAGAAGCAAAACCTATAAAATCAACTATTAAACAAGATACTACAAAACCGCCTTCAAAATCAACTGTCAAAGCACAAACAAAGCAAAAACTAAACTCAGATGCAATAACATCTAAGCCTACATCACAATCTACCACTACCAGTACAACTTCAAAACCAACGTCATCATTACCTAAAGCATCAACAAAAGAAGTTAAGAAAGATAATTTGAAGAAAACTGAGAAAGATAATCCAACGGAAATTAAGGATAAATCACAGGTTAAATCTGAAACATCAAAACAAATTAATGAAGCAAGACTAAAAACAAAGTCCGACGATTCCGTTAAGAAAGATGTTCAATTTACAAAATCTAAACCTGTAAAAGAAAATGAAGATAAGACTAAAAAGTAAACCAGAACAAGTTGTCAGTCCAAGTTCACTATATTACTTTATTCCGTGTTGATGAAATATGTAAGTTCTACATATTTCAAATATATTGATTTATTTGTTAGACTTTACGAAATTTCGTATGTATTTCATAGTTTTACTTTGATATAAAATTTAGTTTTTACTTATATTCTTCAAACAATGTTCATCGAACATATGATATTTAAAAAATATTTTTTTCATTTATTATATATTAACATTGATATAAGCAGAAAAAATATTAGTGATTTCAGATCTGTACATAAGATTGAGAATGATGTTGTTTTTGTAAAACATTTAATATTATGATATATATAATATAATATTTAATACAAACACATGCATATATATTAATATATGCATATGTATGTATATAAATTATAATTTTATTTAGTTGTATAATGAAGATGAGGTCCAAAAAGAAGAAAATCCATTTTGTTATAAATGTTTATATTCTTTTAATATTAATTAACATTCCAGAGAAAATTGTATAGTAAGATTATTAAAGTGATCGTACTATAAATAAAATAATTTATATTAGAGATCACATTTGTTTATAAAATTTAATTGAATTTGTCATAAAATTTTTTTGTGATTATAAAAATAGTATGTGTAAATCTTCCACTAAATTTTTAATTTCTATTTTTGTATGTGATCTAAAATATTTTTCTACTTAGTGTATACAAATATTATACACAATACATGTATGAAAATAAGATTTGTTTGCAGATATATTTTAATTTATCTTTGGCTGGGTATTACATATACAGATTAATTTTGAATATAATGATATAAAACAATATTCTTAATTTTATATAGAATTTGGTAAAAGGTTGTACAATTGGTACACAAATAAACTTCTCCTTTTGTAAATTGTCTTTTATTTCCATAATTGCTTCTTCAGAAATAAACTTAATATTCAAAATTTTCAAGTACATATATTTAAGTACTACTATCTATTTATTACTACAATAAATATTTTTAATATATTAAAACGTATATCAACTTTATTCAGATTAAGATTTAAAATTAAGAGAAAGTTAAAAAATGTAATTAAATATTAAGTTGCCGCACTATAAATGTAGGCAGTATTGACTTCAATTTATTATTCAAATTCTGTTGTATTCTCCACAATAGAGTAGAATTTTTAATAAAATGCCAGTCTCCATTTCTTTTACTTTGTGCCCACTTTTGTGCTTTCAATAAACGCTTATGATAACTTAAGATGTTTTTATCATGTAGTACATCTTTTGTTACCATAGCAAAACCAACTTTCGTTAATTCCTCGCCAATTTTTATATGTTCCTATATAATGTAAAGTCATAAATTGAACTGAAAAGATAAGTGAACTTAACAAATGTTTCTCACCTTATCTTGCTTCATAGATACTAAGCAAGTTACATAGTCTTTCTCTTTAACTAAAGGTATAAAAGTTATTTCTTTTCCACTAACAATCGTTTGCAACCAGCTAATACCTAAAAAAATATATTTTTTTTATTTTATTAAAGTAACATATCTATAAACGTTTAATCCATATTTACCATTAGCTCTTATATCAACATCAGCTATTTTAATTGGTAAATATTTTGAATTACTTAATCGAGGCAAAGGTATTAATGGCTTGTGATCAACCATTAAAAATGTACCACAACTAGGTTCTATACGCACCACAGTACCTTTAAGTTGAACTTTCTTATGTAAAAAATTTGATGGTATACTGGATGGTTTTTTAAATTTAGCAAACTAAAAATACAATGGTAAAAAATATAAAACGTTATGTAACAATATCAAATAAATATCTAAAATATATTTGTATGAAAAATATAAAATAAGCCTATAATGATAAAAAATGTAAAATAGAAATAAATAATACATTATTAGTATTTATTATACATACAGGTTTGACTCGATGGAGTGCAATTGCCAAGCCTATACTAGCAATTCCATAACTCAAAGTCTGAAATTAATGTCAATAAATACGATTATATTATGCACATGAAAATAATATTTGCAATGAAAGAAATATAGGTTAGAGCATACATACGTTCACCGTCTGGGAATTCGTTTCACTAAAAATGATATAACTTTCTAAGATAGTCGGCTCTTTCTCTGGCATTATTGTTCCCGTTGGCTTTCAAACAATCTGAAATACGTTGATGTGAAAATATTTTATTGTGAATATACATATGTGTATGTGTTTAATGAGATATTTAATCATCGGTTATTTTTACGAAAATTCCTTAGTTCAAATATCGACTGTCGATACAAGAAAAGTTTTTATTTCACGAATGTTACTTTAACATAAAAAAATATTTATTTAATTTCTTACGAAAAGTATATTAATGATTTATATTATACTAAGTGACGATCTAATTTAATATCTAATTTAATATATATGCAATAAATAATTTATATGGATTTAATTCAAAATTAAATTTCGATGAAGTGCGACATCACTTCTTTATAGAAATTATCTTCAATAAATGACAGTTCTGTTAATTGTTTGTAATTTCATATATCATGTAAAAGTTCGTGGATTCTGTTAATAATTACAAGCCAAATACTTCTATTTTCAGATGAATTTCTTTACTCATGTATTTCAACATACATAATGTACTGACATGCGTAGCTGATGTAGATGTATTACGTTAACATTATATTGGAGTTGAAGTAACAGGCGGTGATGTTAGAAAGATCATCGATAATAATTACTCGAATTAAAAACAAAAAACCTCGTGAAATAGCAAGAGCGACTAATCTACAAAAAAAAGAAAAAATCGAATAATTTATTGCAAGAATGTTTCGCGATGGTCAATATTTGGAAGTAATTAAGGTATCTCACTTAACAGCTGTTAACAGCTGTCAATAGATGATCTTGCTTCTATACAAGTAAAACAGAAGCTGTGTTCGTAGGCTTCAAATAATTGTTTAGTTACGGTTGTTGTTACTGTTCAAGAGAAGACGATAAAAATTAAAGAGAAAAATGTTTCAACTAACAAATGGCTCGAGGTCGAGGACTGGGTGGCACTATATAAAATTTTAGAGAAGGCAATTTCACGTAATGTTCAGACGGAAGGGTCGTTTCAGAATTTTAAAAAATGCAAATGCAAGAAATCCACTCGGCGACTGGAAGTCACGTAAGCGAAGTTGTTTTACATTTCATTTTGATTTCACGTTTAATTTCGATTACTCAAATTATACTACATATATTTATATATATATTTATATACTTATTTTTAAAATAAGCATTTGTTTATAATTAAGTATATAATTTAAGTATATCAATTATTGTAATTATTTATTCAATCATTATTTAAGTATATTATATTAATATTAGATGGAAAATATTGCTTTTATTTTATTACATTACAATTAAAAAATATGTATATGTATATCAATGGCTGTATCATGATATGTAATTATTCCTAGTTATTTATTTAGATACCTTTACATCATGATATGTAATTATTGCTAGTTATTTATTTAGATTTCTTTACAAACCATAGATATATATTTGAACCATCAGAAAGTATAAAAGATGTCACATCGTTACCCACAATCAGGGTGAATGTATCTCCAGCAAAAAAGAGATTTGAAAAGTCAGAATTACCCAAGGTAGCGACAGAGAAAAAAGAAATTTTGAATCAAGTAATAGAGAAACCAGCTAAGAACACTTTTAATCATGCGTGTCAGGAAGAAGACATAAAAAATGCTTTACCCAAAAAATCAGAAAATAATTTAGTAACAAAAGAATTGGTTGACACAAAAAATGATAGAGTTAAAAGATGTCTAGCAACTGGCAGCTTAGAAAATGATATGTTGGAGGAATACGTACCAAACGCTCCTGTGACGAAAAAGTTATGCGCGAATTTGAACTATATACCAAGTAGAAAGAGCACATTGGAACAAATCCAAGGATTTTCGGATGAATACTCTCCTATGGTATCAAATAATAAGAATGTAGCAGATGTAATTCGATATGTTCCAAATTCCGTGAATTTCTCAAAAATATCTTATGAAACATACGAACCTAGTGGTATAGCTATTGCGAATCATTCTGAAGAATATATTCCGAATTCGAAGGGAATTAAAACATCTGTTGAAGAATATCATCCAGATTTTACTAGTAAGACGATGAAATTTGACGATAGTTACGTGCCATCAAGTGTTGAAATAATTAACGAAAATTCGAAAAAGTTATTGGACGAGCATCAAAAATTACATTCAGAAAAACACGTGTTGAGGTAAAAGAAATATTAACAAAATGAAACATAGATCTATTTATCTAAAATATTTTTGAAGTAAATATGAACTGAGATATAGAAAAATCAGAATATGATATTATTTACAATAAATATCGTTTTTATCGTTATCGAATTTTCGTTAATTATTACAACAAATATCTTCTAATCTTTCTATAACATTCGTAATTTCATTTGACTGTATAATAAATATAATTTTAATAAAAAAAGACCCTATTTTCAGTAAAAATATTTGTTTATTATTACTCAGAGCTCATTTATAGTTTGTCAATCATTGTCCTCGTTTTCCGAAATTGGATCCTCAACTAAATTTTTAATCAGCTCAAATTTTGATTCTTTGTTTTCTTCTTCTTTGATATTTTCTTGCTCAACATCTATTTGATTGATTTCTTCATCATCTGTATCATCATCTGCTCCAGGATGAGCAGGAACTTTGTAAGATGGACTGTTAGGTGTTTGTACCATACCCGGTTTCTGCCACACTTTTTGTGATTCCTATAATTCATAATTAAATGTTCACTGCTCTTTACTTATTTAAAAGACCTGAATAAATATAAAAAAAAATGTCCTTACTTACTTTCATACCACTAACTTTTTCTATGTAGTAATCATAGACAAATTTGGCCATATGTGGCATATCTTCAATTTCCATTGATGAAGTGAAAGGAATAGCATCGTTGAGTCTTTCAGTAGGATAATGCTCTTCAGGGAGAAGCTGTAGTTTTAACGGTCGTTGCATTAGCTGAGCAAATGCAGGCGTTAATTCGAAACAGTTCTTAAAAAGAGACACTCTAGCAAAAACATAAAGGCCAAGACGCGCTCTTGACATAGCAACTACTAGTCGTCGTGCGTCTCGTAAGTGACCCACAGCACGAGTTTTCACAAGAGACAATAATATGTAATCGTTTTGTTGACCTTGATATTTATCAACTGTTGTTACTTTATTTGGTCGACCTATCAAAGGATTGCTGGCACATCTTATGTTTATCACATCTCTTATTAAATGCTTCTGTCCATTATAAGTTGTTAATATACTAATTTTGTCGGCCGGATAACCAAGAAGACGCATGTACATAAACACGGCAACGCAATATTCAGCTTCAGCGAGATTTTGATAAAAGTAGGCACTGGGTTCACTTTCACCCACTCCATTGAAATCTTCGACGTTGATAAGTTGAAAGTCATATAAGAATCCAGCATTTGCCACTAAATACTCTGGACTGTTTTCCACGTGTACAAGATTACCCAATTTTTTGTAACGCCAATTATATAGATTGCAGATACTAGGTCTTGCACGGCCTTGGCCATCAAGATCAACTGTAGGAACACCCAATCGTACGAATCTTGCAAAAAGAGATTGTTCCATATTTGAGTATTTTTGAAAGGCCATGTTTTTAATAACTGGTGGTAGTTGATGATGATCTCCTATCATTATCCAACGTTTCAACCTATTATATCCGTCTTGAGGATTCTGCAGTAACAATGGTATGAAGGTTTCAATTTCTAAAATTTGAGCAGATTCTTCCATAAGAATGTTGTCGTATTTAAATCCCATATCTACTAGTTCTCGTCTCTTAAGAGCAGCATGAGTACAAGTCATAGCAATAACTTTTGCTTCTTTGACTAATAAATATTTTGATCTATCTAAACCGGATCGTAACAATTCGAAAGCTCTGAATTCTTCTAATTGAGCAAATATCCGTTCTATGTATCTGTAAGAATAATGTTTAATTAAAATTAGTTCTAAATACAACTCCTTATGCAAAATTTTCATTTAATAATAAATTTACCGGAAACAACTGCAGGCTATTTCAAGATCTTCTTCATAAGAATTCCGTTTAAACAGCGGTTTCGGTGCGTTATCAAAGAATTTATGAAATGGAAATTCTTCGTCTATGATAAAAGCAAGAAGTGCATTATTTGCTGTTCCTTGTCTTTGTTTAATTCTGGTTTCAAAGCGTTCCCATCTTGTTAGTATTTGATACATAAAGAAGTGCCCTGCTGTCTCACACGTATATGCCACATCACCTTTTACATTTAAGGATTCCTAGAAGCAATAATTTTGAATAGTTCATATATGCAGCAAATGTCAGGGACAACGTATAAGTATTTGTAAATTACGAACTTGTAATCTTTGAACTTCCATTAAAAGATCCAAACGTTTAGCGAGAACGTAATTAACTCTACCGTATCTACTAAAATCTTTCTCGGTTTCTAGTGCTTCTTCTCCATGACCAAGACGCAATAAATGTCTTTCATCTATGTCAAGCGCCATAATTTTTTCAAAAAGTTGATTAAGCGCTTGATTAGAATGCGTAACGATAAGAGTCCTTTGATTTGGAAAATTATGATAAAGATTTGATATAATCTGAACAGCAACATCCGTCTTGCCAGTACCAGGTGGACCTACGACAAGCGTTAATCCTGGTTGCATACCTGCACGAATGGCTTCAATTTGCGTTGGTGTAAAAGGAATTTGATTTCTGCAATTAAATTAAACGTAATATTATTGTATATAACCTTTACTTTATAGTATTAAATACGACAAAATAGTTTCTCGTTACTTTTTTGGTTCATTAGCTTTATAAGGGCCTCTACTGGGTGGCACGTGAGGTTCAACTTTAATGACTTTCTTTACTGGTTCATCATTATGTTTTGCAAGCACATCTTCAAATGTTAAACGGAAAGGGCGCACTAATTTTGACTCATTATCAGTAGAAACTTTAATCTCGTATTGAGGGAAGCTGCTTTTTAAATGATTTATATCGAGGAATGTGTCATTGAAATCCATTGTACCAATTTCATTTGGCATTCTACAAAAAAATTAAAATATTAGACTTTTAATTTCTATATTTTACGAATAATAATTGCATCTGATATAGATACCTAGAATAACGAGCAGCTCCAGGATCACCATATCCAAGGATTATATCATGAAGCCAATCGGGTACGACGCATTCTGTATTCATAAGCTCTCTTATCGTTTCCAAAACTGCTTTGAAGTTGTTCTCTTTGGGTTTGCGTCTCATTATGATGTTAAAACTTTCATACACATCTTCACCACCGTGACTAGCATTGTCCATATCGATTCTATATTGATTACAATCTAGCCAAACTCTATATGTGCGAGTATCTCCAGGTAAAATCGGCCGTGGTTCAGGACCATCTTCGATTACTCTACCATTTGAATCTAACATACCTTCAACTTCACATCCTCGAACAGTTGTTAGTCCAACTTGTGGTACAAAAGGTAATTTGTGACTGTATTTAGTACCTGCATGTTAAACCCGAGTTAATTACAGGGAATACAGAAGATACAATAGAATAATCAAAGCTTGACAAAATCTTACCAATTGGATTTTGTGGTTTAACTGTAATAAGGAAACAAACATCGTGTTTTCGGAGATTTTCCCATTCGGACTTGATCTCCTTACGCACACTTAAATTTATCGTAACATCGGCACGTACTCTGGATGGTCTTTTCTCCCCGATATTAGGTTTTGCTACTTCGACTACAGCAAATTGTGTAATAGGTTGAGCCATTCTAGCCCAACCCCCAAAGTAAACGCCACCATCTTCGGCTTGCCTAAATAAAGGGCATAAAATTATTATCAATATGCTTTTCAATGATTCCAATCTATTAAAAGAAAGTCACTTACCAAGGGCTCAATCTGCTTACAGCGTCTTCGATATCTTGCCGTATTTCATCTACAAAAATTTCATACTATTGTATACCGTATCATATATCACAGAGTGATTTTTCGCCAGTTGATTCAAATAAGATTTTGTCACAGTCATAACGCCGCATCAACGTATGCGTAGGAAATCTGACATCGCGAATCAATATTAGCTCTATGTTAAACTATGTGTGCATATATGCATAAAATGAAAATGAGAGTATTCATTCGCTGTGTAATTGACAACGCTGGTTTTGTATCAACTAGCCAATGAATCACCTTGTGTTATCTCCAATTAATTAAATTTATAATTCTATACATACAAGTTGATTCAAGCCGGAATAGATTGAAATTTCTCAATAAATAGTCGTGCAACGTAAGAAACTGGAGGTTCAATTTCGGCAAGGCTAAACAACCTTCGCCGGAAAAATATTCCGTTGGCACGATGCTCTCGTTCCAAATGATCTCCTCCGTCGGATAAAGTGGCATTTCATTGAGCTCCTCTAACTGAGAAGCTCTTCGCTCGTGACGTGAAATCTAAAATTTGTTTCAAATTATTTACAATATTCTATTCCCTTTTTTGGGGAAACTAACTTTCCTCTTACTCAGCTTACCAAAAGTTCTCGAAGAAACTCTATGTCATACCGGTACCAATTTTCGTCTTTCTCGCGTTCTTCCGATGGCACCAAACACAGGTAGCTTGCGATCGATCTTAGCTTCTCTTGGCTGAAGATTCACGTAGAAATGGAACGTGAGAATGATACGTGTAATGATACGATAAATGAGATTCAAATCTATCAAAAACATTACCTGAGCAAACCGAAATGTTTGTAAAGAGCCTCTCTTGTATCAACGCTCGCCACGTTCGCCAACGCAAAGCCTCGTAAGTCCGGGAACTTCGCAAAAACTGCTTTCTGTGCAGAGTTCGAATTTTGTTTGTTGGTTTATTCTTTTGTACTCCTTTGGCTTTTGAAAACACGTGAACGTCCATTCTAATGACAACGTTGATGATTTGACAAACGATGCGGATAGAATCGTTTCGATGGTGCATGCAACTCGACAGTGAAACAATTATTTAGCGTAACATCAATATCGATCAACAATAGGCATTTCTTTGTTTATTATTTTATTTATTTATTTATTTATTTTTTGAATCCGAGATTTTCTACTTTTTTTTCAAATGAATTTAATTTTTCAGAGTTTTGTAATTTCTTAAGTGACGAAAATTTTATACCTGAAGCGAAGTGATTTTAGTGTAGTGCAATTGTGTCATATCGTGGTCGGTCAGAGGATCGCCGCTTTCTTCGTTGATCTCAAATCTCGCGTAAAACTTCAACATTTCCAATAGCTGTAAATGAAGAAAGGAAAAAAAAAAGAACGAATATGATCATTGGAATTCTTCCTTGACAAATAACTACGTAAGAACTAGATATATCTGTAATGGTATGTTGGTTCATCACTATTACTGCTCACAAGTGACTTCCGAGGCGTCATTTGTCAACTTTTATCACTTTTTATATTTCATTATGCGTATATCAATTTATCTCTTTTCATTTTGCTGTCTGCTCTATTTATCGATAATTATTTTATCATTCAAAGTACACTTTACATGTACATTGAAAGTTGATCTCAGAAACAGGTCAATGAAACAACAAAATAGTTTAATCGTTTTCCTCCGTTACGCAAAAACGCCGCAGAGTCTGCAAGTCAATTATTATACCAATTAAATACTATTGTTCAAGACGAATCGTCCAAGGTTAAAATCGTCCGCAATGGAACCCTGTCTCGTTAGAAAGATCCTATGAAAATTTATGCATAATGTGCTACAACATATGCGTAAAAATTAACAACAACATCAATGATGTTTATTAGAAGATTTTATCTAGCGTTAGTCCATTCGAGTTTACGGATTTAATTCAAAATTCATTTCTACTCCTTTCATTATAAACGAGATTTTAGCGAGTATTGCAACTTTTTGAAATAATTAATTAGCTCGCGAGAAACACCATATCTATCTA